GCAGCAACTCCTGTAGGTAGAGGCCTTCGCGAACAACTGCTGTTGCTGCGATGAATTCGGCTTCCGCCGACGACAGGGCAACCAGCTCCTGTTTCTGTGAGTTCCAGGAGATGGGGCCGCTGGGCTCGAGGCGAAAAAGGAATCCTGTCCTGGACCGTCGATTTTCGGGGTCAGCGCCGTGATCAGCATCCACGTAGCCGACGAGGTTGAAGGACGCGGTTGGGATGGTGGAGTAGCAGAGCCCAACATTGGGCGTGGAGATGAAGAACTGGAGAGCTTGCTGAATATCTAGCAGATTCTCAGCCATTGGTTTGCGAGAGTACTGAGCCAACTGGCTCGCGATGTAGGAGAGATCGGGCGTGCAGGTAACAGAAGCGAATAGTAGGCATCCCAACTGCTGCTGGTAATTCTAAAGCCCAGCGGGGGACAGGGCTTTGTTGTCAGGCTTGTGGTTGGGTCCTGGAGTGCGGTAAGGGGTGGAGAGTGGTGCAGGTGAGATCTTAAAAAGCTCACAAAGTTCCTCTGCGTACTTGGCTGCCGAGAGATGAATGGCTTCTGGCGAGTAGGAGATGTTGAGGCCGAGGAACTGCTTCACGTCATGGTTGCAAGTGATATCGACGCGTCCCACGAGATTCTTCTCGAACTGCTCAAGCAAATCGCTTCTTGACAATGTGTAGAGGAGATCGTCGACGTAGACTGTGAGCAGGATGTATTCGCCGCGAAAATCGCGGCGATACATCCCAGGATCGTGAGGCAACTGCTTGAACCCAATTTCAAGCAGAATGTTGGCATGGGGAATCCGCGACCCCACGGCGAAATGGAGGCGCTCTCCTCTTCTCCCCACTGGCGCGACCCCACGGCGAAACGGAGTCACGACGCGCCAACTCTTCTTCCTCCGCCATGGTGAGTTTCGCCGTGGGGTCGCGCCAGTGGGGGTAGATCTCCATGAACTTATCCTTTATGTAGGGTCGCGGTACGCCGTGCGCATCGAGGGTGCCGACGCCAGTGCCGCGCAGCATGCCTCGAAGATGTTGTGATGCAGGTCCGGGGAGGGGATGTTCCCCCGTTCCGAAGACGACGCGGGTGGCGGTTTCGAGCTCCATGTTGGACAGTCCTTCTTCAGACGGTGCTTCCCGCTCTGCTTTGGCGATGGCGGCAAGGCCACGGCCGGCAATCACGCTCGTTGAGGCTGTGGGAGTGTGGCAATCTCTGCAGATGGCGTCAGGGTCGGGGTCATGCAGCGCCAGCTCGCGCGGGTGAGGGTGATGCGGCACCCATGGTCTTCCGTCTGGGTGTTTCCAGTTACGGTGGTGAATGTGTTCGAAGCGTAGAGGAACGAGATCGATCAGCTCCTGTGAGTCGCCGCTGCAGTCGGGGATGTCGAAGTCGAGGATGTACACTCCGTTCTCGGAGTGTGCTCGTCCGATCTGCCGGCGCACCTTTTTCGGCGCCGTGTAGTGCAGGAGGATGTCGCATGTGCGGAGGTCGGTGCTGAGCTCGACTCCGCAATCCATGAGTTGTGCCGCCGAAAGAAGATTGAAGTGCAGATTCTGGACGATCAGCACATCATTCAATGTGATGTGCGTGGGACTTCCCCGCGCTTTGAGCATGACGATCCCTTGCGCGCTTGAGCGCAGACGTGTGTTGTTCGCCACAGTGACGTAAGTCACGACAGGAGTGGGGATGGTGTTGGATATGTAACGCTCAGAGCCCACCATATGCTTCCCACAGCAGCTATCCAGGTACCACGTGTTGTAGCGCCTGTTGTCGCTACGTGCGAGCAGCGCCAGTCGCGGAGTAACGATGTGCGTTGTGTCGTACTTGAGAAACCGTTTGCGCGAGATCCAATCGATTGGGGCTGCCCGCTGATCAGGCACATGCAGGGGACTTTCAAGCAGCGGGACTAGAAGATTCCAGCCCTGGTTGTCGTCGTCGCTGAAATCGTGGCGCGTGCTGAATGGATTGTTGTTCGAGAACGCTCCGATTGGGTGACGTGCTGGCTCAGGTGACGGCAATCGCGCGTGGGGACGACGTGATCCGCTTGTCATCGTCATGTTGCCCATGACGTTGCGGACGGGGGCAGTTGGTGGCTGCTGCTGCTGATGCTGAACCGATGGGTTCAGGTTGCGCAATGGGGGTTGGAGCCCCTGGGCTTGACGCGTGTCGCTTCGTGTGTCTTGACGGCCGGACCGGTTGCTCGGATTGGTCTGACGAGGGCGAGATCGGAATTTGCATCGATCTGCCAGATGCCCGAAATTTCTGCAAATTTTGCAGTAAAGGCGTCGCGGCCGTCGCTCTTCTGTGTTGTATGCGTAGAAGGCGAGGCGTTCCTGGTCTCGTCGCGGCGCTGGTCGCTGGTGGTCCATATCCCTTTGTTTGACAAGAAGGGCGGCGCATAGGGCGGCCTCCGAGATGACCCCCTGCTGTCGGAGAAGCGCCTTGCAGGGCCGCCATTCTGGGCCGAGCCCTTGAAGCACGATATTAACGAAAATCTCCTCAGAGATCGTGCTTCCCAGTTTCTCGATTTGATCGCGTAAGCTCCGACAGCGGTTGACGTAGCTATTTGTCAGTAGATCTGCACTGTGGATGCCCGATTGATCCTGGAGAGGGTTACAGGCGCGTTCGCCTGGGGGGTTATGGGCGCACTGACCCGCTACTGAAACAAGCCCTTTTATCCCAATGGTCTAGTGGTTGGGATTCTGACATGGTATCAGAGCGGTCTCGGGTTCGATTCCCGGTGCATGCACATGTAGGCCGTTGCCGCTGTGCTTAGTCCTGGGCCTCCCATTGTGGAGGGGTGTCAGTAGATCTGCACTGTGGATGCCCGATTGATCCTGGAGAGGGTTACAGGCGCGTTCGCCTGGGGGGTTATGGGCGCACTGACCCGCTACTGAAACAAGCCCTTTTATCCCAATGGTCTAGTGGTTGGGATTCTGACACTGTTGGCCTTCTCCCCTTGGGCCATTTTAGTCTCCAGTAGCTGCTGGAGCAGGCGGCTTGATGAGACCGAATCTTTCGGTTGGTACATGCCATTCAAGTGGCGCCAAGCGTCGAGGGCTGGAGCGGAGGTCGTTTTGTACGAACGAATGCTCAACTGCTCCGCCGACGACATGTTCCGCAGGAGGACGCCGTACACCATCAACGACTCGTTGTAGTACTGTGCCCGGGCGTCAGCGGTATCCTCAGCAGGTCCCGAGTAGCTCCCGTCGAAATAGTGGAATATCTGCGCGTTTTGCAGCAGCAGCTCCAGCTCGAAGCTCCACGTATAGAAGTCTCTGCCGTCAAAACACACACTTGTCTTTATTTTTGATATGCTAAAAAACCTTGATTGCGCAGAGAGAATTGCTTCTTCGCTGGGACGGGGAGTTTGGGAGTTGAGCCATAAGTGTCGAAGGAGAAGGTGTGCCGGGCGGTATTGTGGCCGTTCGAGGCCCGTTGAGTGGGTTGGGAAGAAGTTCCCGCGTCGCCATTCCGCAATGTTTGGAGTCCTTGCTCCAAGCTGGTGAGTCGCTGAAGCAGTTGTGCGAGGACAGTCGTTTCCTCGCTTGTCGCAGCCGGGTTGGGCTGCGCTTCAGCCGTCAGATTCGTCTGACCACCAGATCCCCCGGCCATTCTCACACGCGAGCGTGTGCCGGACGCCACTTTCCGTTCGTCGAAGATTTCGGAGGTGGCAGTGCGAAGGATTCCCGAGTCGCTCTCATACCATGCTGCGATCAGAAGTTGATCGTTCCTAGGATCACCTCGGGAAGGTTCGCACACGTCTGAGTAGTGGTGGTGGGCCCTTGACCTCAATAGCAGAGTGGATGTAAAGTGCTTGAGATGAATAAAACATGCAAATACAAGGATATAAATAAGAGTACAATTGAATACGAATCGACCTAGGCTAGCCATGTACTCTAAGGGGTACATTCCCTTATTGCAGCGAAATCCAACCTTGCGACTCCAGACGGTTACGAATTGCCTGAGCAGAATCCTCGCCACTGCTGCTGCCTGATGCTGTCTGCCCGACGGTCCAGATCCTTTCGTAACTGTCTGACCTTTCGCTTTACTTCCGCCCTTTCGTCTTCAGCCTCGGTACTGCATGCTTCGATTGCTGCGGTTAACAGTGCACAGTAATGCTTCATTCATTAATATTTGTAACAAATACAACATATATCATCCCATATTGGGGCTATGTATATATTGCCATGTCCTCCTTATGGTGCAATGCAGCCATACCAATTTGTGTATACCATGGCACATTCTTCTTTGTGCCATCCTCATACTGGTATTGGAGAAAAATATATGGGCATGCTTGATTATTATAATTTCACTATAGAAAAACATTAACATGACAACTAAATATCAATCCTTGCTGGAGCCCCATGTAACACAGGGATCATCGTCCTTCAGTTGTGATTTCTTCCTGCCCTGAAAGTGTACCGCCAATAACTGGACAGCCTCCCCTTTGTTCTGCCCCCTACCAGGCCCTCAGATTCACTTTTAGGGACGTTGATGCATCAGGGTCCCTGTGAAAAAAAGCCTGAATTTTCAGGGTTCCTAAAAAAAAAAGCCTGAATTTTCAGGGTTCCGGAAAACAAAAGCCTGAATTTTCAATCACATCAAACAATTGTGCAAGAGAGTAGCCTTTACGAACATGGTGGTAGAGGGATTCGAACCGGAAACCTAACTATCCGGTATCTGGTTCGCTAACCACTAAGCCAGTTCATCGAGTCAACGATTAGTATTTCTTAGAGAAGATTTTGTTATGTAGAAATGTTAGTGACTTATTGTCTTGGGTGTTTTACGGGAAGGATTCGGAATGTGCATTCAGTGTACACTTCGATAAAAGTCTGAAACATCAGTGTTAGCTATGAAAGGCTGAAAAAATCAGTGTCACAAAAATCTCAACACTGAAAATTCAGTGTAGGTACACAAAACTAGGCTGAAAATCAGGAATTTCAGGGAAAAAATCCTGATATCGTAGGGCCTGCCCCCTACCCACAAACGGCTTGAAATACTCATAGCGCACTGAGGTTGGTGTCTTCATGCCTTCTCTCGGGCAGTAGTGAAACTTTCTCTTCTTGCCCTGGGATCAGAACACAACGAAAGATTGGACAGAACTCAACTTTGCACCACACTCTCAACTTTGCACCACACTCACAATGGAGAAGTTGTTATCGAAGGCGCATCACCCGGCATCGCTCCAAGCACCGGCGGTAATACTACAACACCAACCCCCCCCCCCCCCCCCCCCCCCCCCCCCCCCTGCCCCCCCGATAACTGTGCAGCATAACTACAACATTTTAGAATGGCACTCACAACAGAGAAGTTGTTATCGAAGGCACACCACCCGGCATCGCTCCAAGCACTCGCCTCGCACTGCCGGGGCGCACACAGTGACTCCGCCTTGAAGGCCGGCTGGAACTTGCCGTGAATTCGCGGGTACTGGGCTGACTTCTCCTTGTCCTTGCACTGCCATGGGGGTAGGTAGACGTTGGGGGCAGGAAGGAAGGGGGGAGGGGTGGCGAATAGGGGGGGGATGAGCATCTGAAGTGTTTAGCACACAGCGACTCTGCCTTGAAGGCTGGCTGGAACTTGCCATAGAGGCGCGGGTACTGGGCTGACCCGTACTGGGCTCTCCTTGTCCTTGCACTGCCAGGGGAAGAGGTTGTGGAGGGTGAGACGGGAGAAGCGTGGGAACGGGGAGAAGGATGGGCATTTGAGGCTGGCGTACCAACCCACCTAAGCAGTGCAGCACGGATTTTCTTCAGAGTTCTCTAAGAATCCCTGCAGCGCAGCACCATGTCTTCTGAGGCGCCTCAAAAGTGAGAGTTCTCAAAGAATCCCTGCAACGCAGCACCATGTCTTTTGAGGCGCCTCAAAAGCGAGAGTTCTCAAAGAGTCCCTGCAGCGCAGCACCATGTCGCTGTCGGTGCGGAGCGAGGGGAGAAGAGGGAGAGGCGGAGAGGAGGAGAGACGAACTGTGGAAGCAGGTCCCAGAGACCACTCACACGACACGAGGGCAGTCACTGGTTCTTACCGGTTTGGGTGTGATGAGTCGACTTTTGAGTCGACTTACAAGAAGAGGGAGAGGCGGAGAGGAGGAGGGACGAACTGTGGAAGCAAATCCCAGAGACCACTCACACGACACGAGGGCAGTCACTGGTTCTTACCGGCTTGGGCACTTGGTCGGGAGGGCTGGTGCAGCAGGGAGGGGGTAGGGCTGGTGCAGCAGGGATAGGGTAGGGCTGGTGCAGCAGGTACGGCTGGAAAAAAACACCATTCGACCCCACCCCAGCGTGTTCACACAGGGGTGCTCACCGTTTTGGGCGCTTGGTCAGGGAGGGAGGTCCAGCAGGTACGGCTGGCATACCACCACCCCACCCCAGCTGCACCACCCCACCCCGCCTCACCCCTCCCCACCCCTAGAGCTCACCGTTTTCGGCGCCTGGTCGGGAGAGGAGGTCCAGCAGGTAGGGCTGGCATACCAGCCCAGCTGCACCATGTCGTTGTATGTGCGCTGCTGAGCCGGCAGCGAGGGGTCTCCTGGGGTCCCCCCCGCCACTGCCTCCTGTGCAAAGAAAGTGAAACCGGGGGAATAAGTACATGATGAGAGGGAGGGGAGAGCAGAATGACAGCGGACACACAGATATACCTGTAGCACAGCAGCTGACACTGACACGACAACACTCCACTCCACCCACAGTTGAGACTCGCAATGAAGAAAATCACAAAGCAATGCCACAAGAGCCTCTACGGACCAGAGAGAGAGAGAGAGACGTGGCTGCTGACTGACTGCCCTGATACGCACGCACACTGGTGACTGTCGCATGCCCATAGCTAACATAACACTGGTGACTGTCGCATGCCCATAGCTAACATAACACTGGTGACTGCCGCATGCCCATAGCTAACATAACACTGGTGACTGTCGCATGCCCATAGCTAACATAACACTGGTGACTGTCGCATGCCCATAGCTAACATAACACTGGTGACTGTCGCATGCCCATAGCTAACATAACACTGGTGACTGTCGCATGCCTATAGCTAACATAACACTGGTGACTGTCGCATGCCCATAGCTAACATAACACTGGTGACTGTCGCATGCCCATAGCTAACATAACACTGGTGACTGTCGCATGCCCATAGCTAACATAACACTGGTGACTGTCGCATGCCCATAGCTAACATAACACTGGTGACTGTCGCATGCCCATAGCTAACATAACACTGGTGACTGTCGCATGCCCATAGCTAACATAACACTGGTGACTGTCGCATGCCCATAGCTAACATAACACTGGTGACTGTCGCATGCCCATAGCTAACATAACACTGGTGACTGTCGCATGCCCATAGCTAACATAACACTGGTGACTGTCGCATGCCCATAGCTAACATAACACTGGTGACTGTCGCATGCCCATAGCTAACATAACACTGGTGAATGTCGCATGCCCATAGCTAACATAACACTGGTGACTGTCGCATGCCCATAGCTAACATAACACCACAATGACAGCCACATACCCATACCCTTGAAATTTGTTGGTTTCGATCCACTGCAAGACCATCAGCCACATACCCATGCCCATGGACGCTGCCACAACAACAAGATACACACAGCTGGGACTGGCTGGCTGTCACTTGCCTGGAAGAAAATCACGAAGAAGGCGAGGAAATCCGCGAGGGCGTCAACGGACCACAAGGACACGTGGCCGCTGACTGCCCTGATGCGCACACTGTTGGACCGCATGCCCAGCGCAAGCTTTGCCTCCGGCAGGTGTGACTGTACGTATTCCGTGACATTAACGAACAGCAGCACATCACAGTCGGTGTAAAACACCCTAGAAATATTCCTCCGGACCATCATTTCGTGTAAAAAAAACCACCGGATATGGTAAGCCATGACCTTCCCTATCCCCTTTATGTACTGCTCCTCTATCCGCGCAGACTCTTCGTAATCCTCGTAAGCTTCTAACTCAATGCCGAGTTCGGTCATTTCATCCCGGCACGCGCGCGGACCAATGAGAATGAGCCACGTGTTGTGCAGCAGGGCTTGGCGAAGGGAGGCCTGCATGTACCTCCCCCGGTTGCAGCCTGCCTCCCCTCTCAGAAACTGCACCACTGGGATCATGCCCGGGTTGGTGTTGCCTGACTGGGTGGTGGGATGAACTGTGAAGCTACTGGTGCTGCTGTCGCTAGTAGTGCTAGTGGGTTTAGTGAGGTAAGTTGCACCAATGCTGCTACCAGCAGCATTAGCAGCATTATCAGCAGCCGCCCCTTGCGTCGCCCCTTGTGCCGCTGCTTGGGTCGCCTCTGAAGAAACGCTGTCAGCATTAGCGTCAACAGCAGCAGCAGTGGCAGCCGCAACAGGGTTATCAGGAGGAGCACTGGCATCAGGATCAGTAGCAGCAGCAGGGTTAGCAGCAGCAGCCATCCCCGGTGCCTTCATTGCTGGATCGCTGGTCTTAAGCAGGAGGAGGGTCAACATAGGAAGCTTCTCGCTCCTTTCGTGCTGCTGACGCAACTGCTGCTGACGTAGCTGCTGCTGACGCATCTCCTCCTGCTGCAGCAGATCCGATATGACTGACAGGTTGGCTGCTGACGTGGCTGCTGCTGACGTGGAATGGAGGGCAGACAGGCCCCCATCGGCTGAATGGCCTGGAAAGCGCTTGAAAATGCCGATCAGGATCACATCCGCGAAAAGGAGGAACACTATACCGAGTACGACTGCCCTGTAGGGATTAGGACAGGGAGGGGAGGTTGGGAAAGGTAGGGGGGACATCGGGGGAGGTAGTGGGGATGTAGTAGTGGGGAGGTAATAAAGGGGGAGGGTGGTAAGGGGCAGGTAGGGGGAATGAGCAGAAGGTTGATTGGGTGGGGAGGTCAGTTGTAACGCCTGTGGGCTGTGTTAAGGGCACTCCGCTGCGCCAAATAACACCCTCGTTTTGACCCAGTGGGTAGCGAGGTGTTATACTGGTTTCAGAGCCTAGGGTTCGAGTCCCGGCTGGTCCACACTTTCCACCTATGGTGAGAACTGAAGTGTGGTTACCAGCTCGAACCCAGTGAACGATCCTGAAATCTAGGTCCCAGCGGCAGGGGGCCGACTCCCTGAAGTCCGAGGCCAACGGGGACGTTGGCACCAGGGGGGGACGAGTGTAACGCCTGTGGGCTGTGTTAAGGGCACTCCGCTGCGCCAAATAACACCCTCGTTTTGACCCAGTGGGTAGCGAGGTGTTATATCAGTGGAGGTGCGAAGAAGGTTTGGGAAAACAAGACCCGACCAAGCCATGCCATGTCATGCCATGTCATGCCATGTCATGCAATCCCATTCCTTGCCATGCCATGTCATGCAATCCCATTCCTTGCCATGCCCCGCTCCATGACCCATGCACAACGCGGTCCGCAGCAGCCATACCGTACCAAACCACACCGCACCCCGCTACTCACGCACAACGCGGTCAGCACAAGGAGAACGGACGCCGGACCACTCCGCGCCGCCATCTAGACTGCTTGATAAAATCTTCAAGGCGTTAATCGAAAAGAGTTATATTGGAGACGCCTTTTTTAATAGACGCGGCCGCTGAACGCGCAGGCGCCCTCTAAACGCGTCCCCTCAACGCGCCCTTAGAGCGCGCCCGCCCTCCGCGCCGTTGACGTCACGCTCACGGCGCCTTCCGCGGCACTTCAGCCCTGCGCGCGCGGAAGGGTGCGCCTTTCCGCCATCGCTTGCGCTTCGACGAGCAGCCGCTGGCCGACGGGGCGACCGCGGTACGGCGAAAGCCCCGCGCAGTAGCGGGGAGCGGGCTAGTGGAAATACCGACTAGGTCAGCGTCGCGCAGCGCAGGGTGGTATCTACAACAGTACCAGTTTCGTTGTGTCAGATGGGGTTACCTGTTTGGACAGTTGGATGGTTGTACGGTAGGAATTTGGCGCCTTTACCAGACTCGATTGAGGAGCGACCGGAAAGAGTTACAATTGAGAAACAGAGAAAGTGTAGATAGGGATTTGAGATTTGTGAATTCAACTAGTAGAAAAGATAGAACACAAATGAACATCTCTGCATTTTTCCTTTAACAGTGTTTTACATGTGTTGATTAGGAGCCGTTTGCTAATCAGGGCTTGAGCCCCAATGGCTTGTAGGATCGGGTTGCATAATTAACGACTTTCTGGGGCCTTGGAAGTGCACACAGAGAAATTGCACGGGCTTGTCTTGCGGCGTGCCAACCCAGTCAGTGAAATGGTCGTAGTGCATGGATGTGGGAGTCTTCATCTTCAATGGATCGTAGTGGAACGTTGTATGGTTGATCTGCGAAAGAAAGACGAGGTGCAAGATGAGGATCAAATCATTCGGAGAAGATAGACAGACAGACAGACAGACAAACAGACAGACAGACAGACAGACAGACAGACAGACAGACAGACAGACAGACGGACGGACGGACGGACGGACGGACGGACGGACAGACAGACAGACAGACAGACAGACAGACAGACAGACAGACATATAGACACACTGACATGGTATAGAGATTACAGCCTTAAAAAAAAAAGGTAGAAATAACACTCACAGTGAGCGAGAAGTTGTTGTCGAAGGCACACCACCCGGCATCGCTCCAAGCACTCGCCTCACACTGCCTGGGCGCACACAACGACTCCGCCTTGAAGGCCGGGGTGAACCTGCCTCGTATCCTCGCACTCATGACTCGCATTGACGGCGCCAGGCACTGGTGTGGGTAGGAAAAAGGGGGAAAGAAAGGGGAAGTAGCGAGAGGGTGGAGGGATCGGGGGAAGGGAAGTTGCCGCAATTTTTCTAGGAGCATCGAAAGGAAAGGTGGAGGGGGAAGAGTAGAGCAGCATGCCATCCCTTTTTAGGCGCCTCAAAAGTTGCCACCCCAGCAGCACCATGTGATTGTATGCCCCACACACACACTCAGCTGAGTCTTTTTTTTAGAATTCTAAACAAAAAAAATGTTTTTTTTTTTAAGAATTTTCAAAGAGCAGAGCAGCATGCCACCCCAGTAGAATCATGTGATTGTATGCCCCGCACACACACTCAGCTGAGTCTTTTTTTTTAGAATTCAAAAAAAACAATTGTTGTTTTTTTTTTTTTTGAATTTTCAAAGAGCAGAGCAGCATGCCACCCTAGAAGCATCATGTGATTGTATGCCCCGCACACACGCTCAGCTGCCCTCCAACACAAGCACACGTGTCCTGCTCCGCAAGTTCGTTACCTGCTCCGGACTGGTGGTTTGCTGTCCATTCCACTCACGTCTTTAGGGATGCGGTCCTTGGGAGTGTTAGACGAGCACACGGGAGCAGCGTACCACCCCAGCACCACCATGTCATTGTATGTGCCACAAGCACATACGCCCCTTCCCTGCTAGGCTGCTTGCTAGCTACCCACCAACGCACTCACGTCTTTGGGAATGCGGACTTCGGGAGTGTTGGTCCACAACACAGGAGCAGCGTACCACCCCAGCACCACCATGTCATTGTATGTGCCACTCACACTCTGTTCTGCCGTCTCTAACACAAGCACGTGCACCATTCCTGGATTGCGTGTTTGCTCGCTGCCCACTCACGTCTTTAGGAATGCGGTCCTTAGCAGTATTAGTCCAGCACACGGGAGCAGCATACCACCCCAGCACCACCATGTCGTTGTATGTGCGCTGGGCTGGCAGCGATCGATCCCCCGGTGTGCCCCCAACCACACCAAGCTGCTCGCATTCGAAAAAGGAGTGAGGGAAGAAAGGGGGGACAAGGCAAGGACGTGTTTCAGTAGGGGGAGCGGCATACCACCCCAGTGCCACCATATCGTTGTACGTGTGCTGGGCTGCCAATGATCCATCCCCTGGTGTGCCCCCCACCACACCAAGCTGCTCGCATTGGGGAGGGGGTTAGGGGGGGAAGAAAACAGAACGATGAGTTCCCAGGGGTGCCCAGCCCACCACCGGAAGGGAAGAAGGGCGAGCAGCAGCAGTGAGTGGTCGAGCAACACTCCATCTCAAGCATGCAATTCTCAGGGTGTGCCCCCCACCACACCTAGCTGCTCGGATTGGGGTGGAGGAAGAGGAGATGGGGAAGAAGGGAGAAAGTGAGAGGGAAGCGGGAGAGAAAGAAGAGTGATAGCGCTGTGAAATCTCACAACACAGAAGCAGCAATCCACCTCAGCACCACCATGTGGTTGTTAGGAAATGATAAGGAAAATGCAAAAACAGAATTACATAGACATATACACCAAGAGTAAAACTAAAATTAGAACCTGAACATGCAAAGGAGCTGCTGACAAAATGTTAAGAGGCAGCAAAGCAATGCTAAGTAAGGAGCCAGACACCAGAACGGTTAGGAGCATGCCTGGAAGAAGAGGCGGAAGAAGCTGAGGAAATCTCCAAGTGCGTCCAGTGACCAGAGAGACACGTGCGCACTCACTGCCCTCACGTGAATGCTGTTGGGGGCGGGGGGAAAGGGAGAGGAAGTGTCGGGGAGGTGGGGGGGAAGTTTAGCTGGTTGGAGGGGAAACAGGTGAGTTGAGAGACGTGTCCCACTGTGAACAAATGGAGGCGCGCGCACTCACTCACTGTCCTCACGTGGATGCCGCAGGTACGGAAAAGAGAGGGGGATGGAGGAGTGGAAACATGCATGACCGGTTGGGCATTCAAGCATCAATCCATGGGGGTGTGGCCGACCACTGCAAGGTCGGCGTTGGGCAACATTACTCCATGGGGGTGCGAGTGCACGAACTGGGTGATGTTGGCAAAGTGCAGCACTCTTGAAACTTTCGGTTGTCAAGAATGGGTATGGTGGGCTGGACTCACGTGGGGGTGCGGCCGGCCAGGGCAAGATCCGCCTTGGGTAAGTGCGTGTGCACGAAGTGAGTGACATTGGCAAAGAGCAGCACGTCACAGTCCATGTAAAATATTCTAGGGAGAGACCACCGGCGCATGAACTCGTGTAGGATGAACCAGCGCACCTGATTTGAGCGGGGGAATGAAAATGGGGGGTGGTGTGTAGATGAACGAGGGGCAGCATGGGAATGTGGGAGTGGAGAGTGAGAAGCGAGAGCAGCACGTGGCAGTCCATGTAGAATATGCGGGGGAGGGACCACCGGCGCATGAACTCGTGTAGGATGGACCAGCGGACCTGGTGGAGGGGGAAGTGTTGGGGGAGTGGGAGCATGGCATGGCAGCAGTACGACAAGAGGGGAGGGAAGGGAATGAAGGGAAGGGAGAGCAGCACGTTGCAGTCCATGTAGAATATCCAAGGGATTGACCACCGGCACTATTTTTGAGGCGCCTCAAAACACGTCGCAGTCCATGTAGAATATTCGGGGGAGGGACCACCGGCGCATGAACTCATGTAGGATGAACCAGCGGACCTGAGGGGGGGGGGATGAAGAGAGGAGCATTTCCTATGTTGGACTGGATTCCCCTGGGATCTCTCGGTACTACTCACCTGGTACGAAACCACCTCACCAACGTTCTTCTCAAACGCCTCCTCTACCCCCTTGTACTCCTCATAGTCCTCCACCTGCACTCCCTCCGCTTCCATCACCCTCTTGCACACCCGTGGCCCGATCAGAATCACCCGCGAGTTCAGCCGTCTCGCCTGCTTCAGCGTCTCAAACGCGTACCGGCCCCGCCCACACCCCGTCCTCGCCCTAAGAAACTGCACCACTGGGATATCCCCAGGGCTACCCATTGCCGCAGCTCCAGGGTTACCACCAAGCCTGCTTCCGGACCTGCTTCCAGAGCTATCGCCTGAGCCGTTGTCGTTTTTTTCCCTGCTATCTTTACTAGCTTGCCTTTCCACCGCGTTTCCTCTCTCCTGCCGCTCGCCTTGCCTCCCAGCTCCTCCCCCACCCCTCTCCTTGCTTCCCCTCTCCGCTCCCCCCCGCGCACCTAAACCCAACCCCCCATCCGTCACCCCTCCCCCGTCCTCCCCCTCCCCCTCTTCCCCCCACCACCCTCGTTTCCCCGCCAGAAGCTCCCGAAAAGCCGAGGGATTCTTAAGAACGTCGGCACTGCTAACCAGCCCGTGCCTGGACGACGACTGGATTCCATTACCCTCCTCTGGAAAGGATTTCCCTGCTGCCCGGGAGCCGCTTTCTACCCGGAAATTTCCTCCTCCTGCTCCTGCTGCTGCTGTTTCTGCCCGGAAATCCCCTCGTAATGGTGTTTGGGAGTCGAATGAAGGCTCGGAGTATTCGTCTAGTTCAGCTGCCGTTCGCATTTGCTGCTGCTCCTCCTTGGTGGTGCTGGAGTGGAGGAGAGGGGAAATCCGGAAGAAGTAGAGGAGGAGGAGAACTAGTGACCTGCAGGAAGGAAGGGAAGGGAAGGAAACGGAGAGAATTATAAAGTCATCTACTGCTTGGAAACCTTCTGGCGCTGCTAGGAAATTCCCTCCTGGTGGTGTTTGGGAATCGAATGAAGTCTCGGAGTATTCGTCGAGTTCCACTGCTGTTCTCATGCGCTGCTGCTCTTCCTTGGTGGTTGTGGTGGTGGAGTGGAGGAGAGGTGCAACGCGGAGGAGGTAGAGGAGGACGAGGAGAAGGGACATGCAGGAAGGGGAAGGGAAGGGGGAGGAGGGAAGAAAAACGGGGAGAATACTCAGTCACCTGCTGCCCGGAAACTTTCTGGTGCTGCCTGGAATCCATACAGTGCTGCCTGGAATCCATACAGTGCTGCCCGGAACGCTCCTGATGCTTCTGTTCTCATGTGCTGCTGCTCATCGTTGTAGCTCTGGGTGGTGGAGTGGAGGAGAGGGGAGACGCGGAGGCGATAGAGCAGGAGGACGAGGAGGGACCTGCGGGGAGGGGAGGGTGTTGGAAAGTTGGAGGAGAAACAGAGAGATTGTGCTGCTGTTCGCATGCGCTGCTGCTCTTCCTTGGCGTTCTGGGTGGTGGAGTGGAGGAGAGGGGAGACGCGGAGGCGATAGCGCAGGAGGACGAGGGGGGGGACCTGCGGGGAGGGGAGGGTGGGGAATGGGGAGAGAAGGGGAACAGTGGCGGGTGGGGATATGCGAAAGGGTGGGGAATGGGGAGAGCAATGGCAAAAGGGTAGAGAAGAAGGAGACTAGAGAAGGACGGGATGGTCACTCACAACGCGCCAATGACAATCAGCGGAATCGCACGGCGACCGGACGCAAGCAGTCCCGCCACTCTCTCCGCTTTCACCACCCCTTGTAAGTCTCGTAGCTGACCCACTAGGTGACCCACGAGCTGACCTACTAGGTCGCTCTTCTTGCCTCTCTCCCCCTTCGAGCTTCTCTCCGCTTTCACCCCCCCTCGCTCCGTTTTCGAGCTTCTTTCCGTCTTCGACCCTCTCTCTGTTCTGGAGCCTCGCTCCGCCGGTTTCGTCGCTCGATCCGCCTTCGACTGCGCGGCGATCGCCATTGCTGACACGTCTCAAAATACGCCTCCCGAGGGCCACGTATGTTACAAAATAAGCCTGGTACGTGATTCCAGTCCAGTCCCTCGTCTCAACGTACTACTATGTTAGAAGCCTGGTCCGTCGAGATTTTCCTTCCGAGCTAAGGAGGAGCTGTCAAGATGGCTCCGCTATCCACGGGTATGGCTACCATTGCGCCGCTGCCTCGTAATCCACAGCAATCCTTCGCTATCATGCACGAAAGGAGCCGGGTGTATCGGCCTCTGCCGTGTCTCGAGCCAATCTAGGGCGTGTCAGAGGACTGAACGGTTCGTAGTCAGAGGAACCGAACGGTTGCACACGAACTCTACAGCCCGCTTTGGACTGAGTCAGAGGACCGAACGGTTCGGTCAAACTCTCGCGAACGGTGACCGATTAAAACACGAACACACGAACTCGTTTGGCAACTCTCGTTACTACAGTGGCAAAAGAATATTCACTTGTTGAACATCACTTCAGATTAACAGAATGCTGCCCATTTCAGGATTTTTACTCCATTCTCCTAGCGTCCTTACCCTTAACCTAGATCTAGGCTGCGTTCTTTTGGCATTAATTTGCCAAAAACCTCCATCTTGGAACCTTCTCAACGCATCAGAAGAACACTTATCGTGGTTTGATTACCAGCGCATTCATTCCGAACCTGGACACACCAATTTAAGCGAGAATGCCTGCATAACCACTCTTTTTTTACGCACAAATTTAACCGTGCCATGTTTCCCCGTTCCTTCTTCGCCTAGTGAATGGCCATGTTCTGCAGGATTTTGAATCCCTCCTTGGAACTTGCTTGTAGGCTTCTGACGGCTAAAATTTGGGTGGCTGGCGTCTAGGTTACCCAAAAAATCAAGTCAGGCGCAACTTAACGACGGGATAGCATAGCCAGCAGAACATGCCACTTGGGAGGCGGTCCCAAGAAGGAGGAATGAACATTGAGCCTTCCTGATCTCACAACTAGCTAACCCTAGCCTATCCCTTATGCGCCCAACCCAAATGGTGGAATGACGAGGGTTTAGTACAGGGCTAGGGCACAGGGTAAAACCAAACATTGCTCCACCTTTAGGGCAAACTTAAGGTGCCCAACCCCCTTGTTGCACCAAATGTCAAAATGCATATATTGTTGTGTAGGCTGGAGTGGGGTACTCATTAGAGAGTACAACCCTTTTAGGGTTTCCCATATTGTACTCCTAATTCATTCCACTGCATTGATTCTGGCATGGTTTCAGAGCACGCCCCGTTCTAGGACCGTATTTTTTAGGGCCCACCGATTAGTTCCGTTCCTGCCCGGCGTTCGTTTTTGCCCTGCCCTGCCCGACGTTTCTGCCCTGCCCTGCCCTGTCCCGCGCGGTCGCGCTGCCCCGCACGCGCTGCCCTGCTCGCCACGCGCGTGCACTGCCCTGCCCAGCGATTTCGCGCTGCCCTGCCCTGCCCTGCCCTGCCGCGTGCTGCCTTGCTGCCGCGCATGCTGCGCTGCTGCCCGCGCTGCCCTGCTCGCCGCGGGCGTGCCCTGCCCTGCTGCCCGCACTGCTCTGCTCGCCGACGGCGCGCACTGCCCTGCCCCGCTGCCCAGCGCCTGTGCGCGCCCTGCTGCCCCGTAACCGCGCGTGCCTTGCTGCCCAGCGCCAGCGCGTGCCCCGCTGCCCAGCGCCAGCGCGTGCCCCACTGCCCAGCGCCCGTGCGTGCCCCGTTGCCCAGCGTCAGCGCACGCCCCACTGCACAGCGCCCGTGCGCGCCCTGCTGCCCTGTACCCACGTGCGCCCCGCTGCCCAGCGCCCGCGCGTGCCCCGCTGCCCTGCGCCCGTGCGCACCCCGATGCCCAGCGCCCGCGCGCCCCTGCCCTGCCCTGCTAGCGCGTATCCCACTGCCCAGCGCCCGCGCGCCCCTGCCCGGGCGCAAGTGACGCCTGCTGCTGCCCTAGGTGCTGCCGCCTGCTGCTGCCGCCCTAGGTGCTGCTGCCACCCGCGTGCGCTGCCCCGCGCTGCCCTGTCCCGTGCTAGCATTGCCTTGCCCCTTTGCCGTTGCTGCTGCTGCTGCTACTGCCCTTGCTACTGCCCTTGCTACTGCTGCCGTTACTGCTGCTATGGCGACTCCCACTATGCTAGCCTTAGAGGTAGAGGGACGCTCACTTGGGTTTGAGTCCTGGGTAGAGAACTTTCACCAGTACCTCCAGAGTGTCACTCAGGACAACGCCTCCCTGTTCGAGCACACGTCGGGGTTCCTTTCGGCCCCCGAGGCTCCTACTGTGTCTGCTGCTGACGCTAGGGAGGAGGTGCGGATGCAGTACCGCGCAGACCACGTTGCCTACAAGCGGTGGATGGCGTGTGACGTCGCCGCCAAACTTGCAGTAGGTGCTAACCTCTCGCGCGACCAGAGAGCCCACTTTCGCCAGGTGCCGTCGGCCCATGCTTTCTATACCTCTGTGGTTAGGCACTACTCCCCCCCCCCCCCCCCCCCCCCCCCCCCCTCCTGCCACCCTAGGCTGTCTTGCGCTGCCTCTTACCTTCCATGCGCTGTCAGACATTGCCACTGTTGCTGACGAGGGTGGTCATAGTGGAGCTGGCGGGAGTGGCGGGGGCGGGCAGCAGGAGTTAGTGCCTTCGTGTGTCGCTGCTTGTGCGCCTACTAGCACATGTGCGGTTCCTGCGGAGGCGTTGCTCTCGGTCCCTGTCACTCTAGAAGACCCCACCTCTGGACTAGTCTATGCGCACCCTTCCACAGTTTTCTCGTGTCTCGTCGTCCCCTCTGACTCCTCTGGCTCGACCGAGGGGGGTGACCCTGCTGCTGCTGACACAGCGACCTCTCGCCGCTCGCCGCGCTTGGAGACACCTACGGGTTCTCCACCTCGGACATCTTCGCTTCCTCTGCAGCCTGTCGCTGTGGACTTTGGGGGCCCATGTGTTGTTGGGGGTGGTGACGATGAGGGTGCTGGATCTGGGGGTTTTGGTTCTAGGGGTGCTGACTCTGGGAGTGCTAGGAGTCCTCTTTTTGGTGGACTTGGAGGTACTGGTACTAGAGGTGCTGGGTCTGGGGGTGCGTTGCAGTCGCTGCCGCAGCGGCCTATCTTCTTGGAGCAGCCGTTGTCGTCGCTGCCCGAGCTGGCCCCCACTCGTACTACTCCTCCTCTTTCGTTTCCGCCGCCTGGCCTGTCTCGGCCACTGTTGCTGCCTGACTCCCTTCTGCCTGCTCTTGCTCGATACTCCCCGTTGCCTATCTCCCTGACTGGGCGTCGAGTGCTTGTGTCCTGTGCCGCCTCCCCTGCTACCTTTCGTGTTACTCGGTAGCCTGTTGTCCTGCCGTTACCTCCCCCGTCTTCTTTTCTTGCCATTCCTGACCATGTGTCTGACCTTGCTCGTGCTGCTCGCCCGACTATCCCTTGTTGTCTAGCCGCGCTTGTGACTGCACCTGCTTCTTCGACTGCTGCTGCTTCTACCTTAGTAGCTGAGCTCGCAGGCTTTGCCGCTACTTGCCGCCATGCCTACCTTGCTGGTCTCGTTTCTGCCTCTTCGTGTCCTACGTCCGTCGGAGGTGAGCTTGCCCTTGGCTGTGACGTCCGTGAAGTCAGACAGTTCGAGTTAGAGTACCTGCCGTACCCTCTCAGTATCCGGACTCGTTGCGTTGCGCCCGGGAGACACCACCCTGCGCATTGGCGGGCTGCTTGGAGGGTGCTGTGCTACTTGGCCAGACTAGCGAGCAGAGCGTAGCACTTTGCACTCAGTTCCTTTGCCGTGCGAGTGTTGTAGCAGCGTTCCCAGCTTTGCCTTCATACGTGGCCACACAACCAACACTGCTTGTCTCTTGATCTTGTCTTGTACTTTGATATATAAACATGCATGTTTCTGGTTGCTATGTTGTAATAATTGTACTGCTTGCTCTATTATAAAACTGCATGTGAACTGGCCTTGTGGCCGCTTACTAGTGCTCGGAATGCGTGGTGATCTTGAGATCCACCATGAGCTTGCTTTGCTTTGTTTCTTCTCTTGACTGGTCTTGTGACCGGTTGTTGTGTTTGCTATCCCCCACTTCGCCTATGGGGATGTGTCAAAATGCATATATTGTTGTGTAGGCTGTAGTGGGGTACTCATTAGAGAGTACAACCCTTTTAGGGTTTCCCTTTTTGTACTCCCCATGCCTGCTAGTGAATTCATTCCGCTGCATTGATTCTGACACTGAATGCCTGTAAAAAACATTCGAGCATGAAACTCCTCACTCAGCCTCTCCTCCAATGAGCGTGTGTCAGTGCACCTTGTCGAATTTTGTTGTCCGCTTTTTATCCAGCGCAGGAACCGACCCCAAAAGTTTTAGCATGTGAGGTGCCAAATTTTCGCTCTACAGTAGCCACTTCTTCCGTCCCGCTGCGTTGAAAATTCTTGGATGGGCGAGAGGAGACTTCCTGGGGATGAAGTTTCCTTTCTGGTAGAGCTTTTGCCTAGCCAGAGTCCGTATGCCTACAGGACGCCGCCAATTGTCCGCACAACTAGTGCGGAGCAATTCGCCCTCTCATGTGCGAATGAGCCTCCGAACCAGCTATGCGGGGCCGTGGCAATAAGCCCCCCAATGTGTACTGGGTAGGCAAAAGCGCCCAAAAGGTGACCATCAACAACGTTGTGCTACTGTATCCCATGTTGGGAGGAGGGTTAGTTTACACTCGCAACGGACGTATCGGGCAGATTGCAATGTATCTATGAACCAATTTCAAGAAGTTGCAAGTGGTTAATTTCAGGCCTTTACGGCAACGTCGAGGCAGCAGTAACCTTCGGTTAATGAGGCAATGAAGGTACTTGGAAACTGACTTCGGTTAGATTGATGCGGCGGAAAATAATGCAAAAATAAATTGCTCTCCTCTTCTCCCCACTCTCGTTCGCTTTCATGGGACACCACAGCGATAATTAGCGAATGGGACACAAAGGGCGGAGAATAGGCGATTATGGGAGAGCCTAGGCGCAGAGTTGCACGATCGGAGAAAGAGGTGCGAGTTTTCCATGTACGGACTTGTTGGAGACCGAATATTGGTATTCAGGAACAATAACTTGGTATATAGTAACTGAAGGAAAGAGATTGATCAAATTGATAGATTACAACAGATACAGCATGAACCTTATAGGAAACATAGTGACGTGTGCGAGAACGTTCTACGAGAACGTTGTTCAAGGAGAACGTGGA